CATGCCTTTTCTTTAATAATAAAATATAAAATCTTTAATAATTTTATAAATACGAAAACGTTTCCTTGAATAGGGGTTTCTTCTCATAAGTAGTATGTAAAAATACGTTTAAAAACAGAGTTTGAGCACAAATCTTCAATAGTGCTTTAGTTTTCCCAATACACCTCGAATGTGAACAAAAATCATTGATGCTCAACTGTTGATACCAAACTGGTGTTAATTAAAATGGCTTCTGAAATATGTTGCTATTTAGAATGTATGTGCTGTTATGCCATTTCTTGGCAATAACTAAACTTATGCAAGTAAGTTATTTGATTTTTGAGAAGATAAACAATTATGTATTTAGATCAGAGGCGCTTAAATTCTTGCTTACGAGCAAATTTCCCCTCCCGAGGTTCCCCCACTATGCGGTACGACACGCAGAAGGTGTACCATAAACCAACGGCAGTCACTGGAGATGTGGTGGGAGGACTCCTCGCGTCCTCCTCCCGCCACGCCGCAAATCGAGCGAGACCATCTCAGTCGCATAATGTGGGGAACCTCGAGAGGCGAAATTTGCTCGTGAGCAAGAGCGCCTCTGATTTAGATAGTGAAATTGAGAAACTTATAAAAAGTGGAGTTGATCAGTTTAGTTTCTGAGAAGCTCATGTGTGAATTATTTTATGACTTGACTTTGGACATGGTAGCCAGTCAACCAAAGATGCATAAAATTGCACACAAATACATAAAAATTGTGTATTTTTAGAACCCCATAATGACAAGACAAATTTCTGTCTACGCCTATTTCTGTATCTATTTTCTATAAAAATACATTTGCATAAACATCCGTAATCTACTTATAACTAAAAAATTAAGCCTAATCCGACATTTTTTTACCTTTGATTTTCGTCTGATTTTGTCATCTAGATTCATTCTTTAAAATTTCATCTACTTGTTGCCAAACACCCTGTGTATGTATCATATACTTTTATCTTATAAAGGAAGATGTTAACAAATATCGTAAAAAATATTTTCTTATACTTTTTTAGTGCTTTATTCGTTTCCATTTATCAATAGCTATTGTGTTTTCACGCGTTACACATTAGAGTTTTCAAATAAAATAATTTACAGTTAACTAACGTCGCCTTCCTAGCAAAGAAAATCGTAGATTTCTTCAACATTTAGGTATTGGCAAGAATTGTCATTGCTTTTACAAATATATTGTAATCAGCATTCTTAATAGTAATGAATAAAGTAAGTCGAAGTTATGTTAGCAGAATATTATATAAGAATAAAGGTACGAGAGCGTTTTTATATTAAAATATACATACAAAGTATCTCGAATTAAATAATGAAAATAGTCGATTCAATCAAAGATGTATTATATTTAGTACATAAAATGTTTAAATATTAAAAAAATTTCGAAAGTTCTAACGTAATTTCTTAGTTTATTTTTATTGTTCAGTTTTAAAACAAAAACATATACTATAGCAACTCAGTCATATAGATTATCACGATAATATTTTATTTATTCAGCCGTTAATTAAAGATTGCTTAAGTAATTGTTACGAGATATATTGTATGCTTACAAATATGTGATTCATATTCATGTACGTCAAAACTCTTGTAGTATACATAATTTTACGCTCTCACGTACAAATATAAATATGTATTTGTAGGCACTAGAATGATAAATTATTGCTACTTTAGTTATATAAATCAGACATTTTTCATTACAATTTTCAATTGATCAACATTAAAATAGGTACAGCAAAATAAATTAAGTTTAACACAGGTATATTTCAATTTTTCAACTTGACATTTCCCAGTTACGTTCCATGTATAAATAATCATCCTATTAATTATCAAAAAATTTAAAGTATATTAAAACGCTGTACTACAGTCTTAGTAAGTACTGCAACAGCATTAGCTATGTAAGCATTAAAAAATACATGGAAGTTACCACAAGCATTTCTTGGCTTTCTGAAACCTTCCACTTTTAATATCTTTAGATGCTATAACTAAAACCATACTTGCCTATTCTGCATGATAAATTAATCATGATAAACAGTATGTGTTTTTAAATTGAATTTGTAGAACAACTTCCAAAATAATATGTGCATATTTAATGAAAATACTTTTTTCTAAGCGTTTAACGATTGTTTATGGCAGTTATATTAAATATGATATGCCTGCACCAACTTTATTACATTGTGTTTATTGAGTTTCATTCAATGGAATTCTTTACGTTTCAGAAAAAGTGTTGCTTAATGCTTGTTGAGTGTTCAATTAATTTTGTGTGTATTTAAATAAAAGTAAATTCCATTTATATAAATAAATAAACTGAGTTACATGAACACTATGATAGATTTTTTTAATACTTCATGTTCATCTGAGTGTTCACAATGGCAGTACTGAAAAATTAGAAATTATAAAAAGAAAATACAATAGTCAACTAAAATAATTAAAAGATACAGAATAGTGTATTTTAATTAAGTTAGCATATAGAAAACAGCAATTGCAATAAATTTATCCATTTCATGATGTAGCGGACTCCTAAATAAAATATTCTACTTTGTTCTGAAACTTACATAGATATATAAATCCATTCTCGTAATCAAGCATTCTGCAACTAGATGTACCAATAAATATAATTATTTCATGGTTCTTTTTAAATATGCAAATAAATTATTGGTTTTTAATCATTTCATTTTTGGATATACATGTCAACAATAATTATACATCTATAATATCAGCGGAAAATAGTTTATAGAAACAAATTACTTTTCAAAATATTAAATACTGTCGATTTCTATTTTTACTTTTAAAAAGAAAAAAGTGGTAATTTTTAACCTACATATTCATGATATATGCGAAATTAATTAGGCCTCACACATAATTAATAAAAAAAATTAATAATAAATAATCGATATGGTATTCGATGCAAAATTGCATATTAAATAATGTTACTAAAATGGCCAATATATTTTATAAGGAAATAATCGATGATCTTTATTAAAAAAAATAGGATATTTATATGGCACTAAATAAATATAACCTATGAAGAGAATATCATAGATTATAAAACGAACATAATTCGTTAAAATCTTTTATCAAATCTTCCAAATGTTAATATTGTTATTAAACTTTTTTCATAACAATTCATTTCTTCTCCTTCTATGAGTGATCTATATGTATATCTTTATATGTATTTTTAAAGTGATTAATATAATATGATATATTACTAAATTGCAAAAATGATATATTACACATAGCAACATTCCTTTTTATATTCTCCTTTAAGTTATATCAAGATTCCAGCACCTTATTTAACTTAAACAGTATCCACAACAACATATTTTCCTACTATTGCTTTTCTATGAAATATTACAATTATAAGTGAACGTATTGATTGATTTTGTCTAATAACATATTTTTTCGCAATATTCACAGTTTTATAACAAACTTTATTGAATTTTTGTATTACTTCGACGGAACAGTTTTCATTTTGAACTTAGATCCACTACAAGAAGTGGTATTTTATTGATGCTGTACTTAATGATGAATTTATATGAATATGAAACAATGATTGTACAATTTGTATGTAATTCATACAGATTTATATTGAGATAGTATGAAATAAACTTTTAAATATTACTGTTTTATTGATCATGAAATTCTTGATTTTACCTTCAAGGAAAATTTTGTATTTTCTTTGGCAACCCACAGCAAAACGAATCATGCCTACAATTATTTTGCTTTTAATTTAAATAATTTTTATTTTTTTAAAAGTAGATCCTATTTTATCAGTATTTAAACAAAAGGAATCAAATATATAATATTATTTACTTAAAATACTTACTTGTCATTTTCATTACATCAAGAGGAATAAAATTAAGCTTTTATTGTATCACACAATTTTTATTTCGTTGAGCTAAACCAGCTCTGGATAAATTACGTTCTATTTCGTCGTCATCTTCAATACTGCAACACAGTAGAAATGAAACATGTAGTGTAAGACAACATTTACAAGTACTTCTAATAACAAAATAAAAAAATATTTTCACCTAAAATATTTATTAATGATTATCACTAATAAATATTATGTAATAATAACATACAAAAATACATTAATATCATAAACATACGCTCTTTCTTGTGTATCAAGGTGATGAACCAATTCATCTCTCTTGTTTACAATAGAAACTAGTTCCTCTAAAAGTAAATTTTCCCGCATTTTCTGCTCAGGAGTTTTTCTCCACTCTTCTACTGCTAATATACTTCTTAATTCACGATTTAAAAGTTTAAACCTTCGTTCTAAATCATCTTCTTTTTCCCTAAAATATGTCAAAATTGATAAAAGCTTAATAAAAAATATCTAAACAGTACTCAACAAAATTATGAAAAAAATACTAAAAATTACAGTTACTTACAGTATGTTTAATTGCATTTGTCTTCTCAGAAGTGCATTCTTTTTATTAACAAGAGTAAACCACAGAGACATCAGTCTTTCTGTTTCATCTTCATTATCACTTTCCATTGCAGCTCGAAGTTGTTTTTCAAGTTGACCAGCTTGAATATCTATTTGAGTCTGTTCTCTTTCCAATGCTTCTAGCTCATTTTGAATATACGATGACATATCCTTTCCCAACTAAATATAAAATAATTAATATAATATATTCAATTACGACTTATATTTAAACAAATTAATTTTAAACATACTCCTCTAAGTGTATACGAAGTACCATCAGGGCTAGTTTTATCTGGTGAAATTCTCTCTATTATTTTTGAAAACGAAAATAGGGGGGAACCTGTTTTTTTCTCACCATCTATTACATTTGGAGTCCCTAATATATTTCCATTGTATTCAGACTGAAATATTTATTATATATTACAACTTATGGGAAAATTATAGGTTTACATTCTAAAATATCATAAATGACAATAAAATTTAAACTAATAATTAAAAGTAAAAAAACACAATTTTTTAATTCATTAAAATAGTAAATTATCCTCTAAACTATATTTCTAAGATGTTATGAGTCATTATTAAAGACAACAGTGTAGTATCAACACCTTGAGGACCAGAGACACAAATTTGTGTCCTTGTGTGACTAATGCTTGCACATTAAAGATATAAATTTATGTTTTTGCTAATCGTCACAGCACTCACCATTGCGTCGGAAAAAGTATAAGTGAAGAAATTTTTCCAATATTGTTTTATACAAAACTTAGTAACAAAATTGCTGCGTAATACTTTTCACTTCGATCTTTTCTATTATACATTATACATTTCATACATGTAAAAATTAATTTTTGTTGAAAACATTATATTTTTATATATTACTTATATCGAAATAAAAATACCAAAAACAACACAAAGTTTCGAATAAACATATCTGTTAAAACACTCATTATTAGTATTCTTATTAACACTACTACTGTTATTTATTTGTTTATAATAATAATGCACGAAGGTAGCAACAAAATGTATAATGTATACAAAGAAAGGCCGAAATGGCAGTACAAGCGGTAAGGAGGTAATTTCTCATGCAAAATTGAATAAAAAATTCAGAATAAAATTTGCTTATCTGAAGATTAGTTTTCGAGAAAATCGATTTTGAAAATCAACACGTGCATTTAGTTAGCAGTAAAATACAATTGGTCGAGCAACTCTGTAACTAATTACAAGAGCTACTGTACTTGTACACAATGTTTACACGACTTAATAATTACATCGAAGATTTTAATAAATTGGTACAAAATACTAATTATGTATTTGGAGACTTAAAGAGTTAAAATAATGAATATGAGCGAAGATACATTACATCTTCAATTCAACGGACACAAGTTTGTATAAAACAACGGTGACATCAAATTATAAATTCCTTAATTAATAAAATAAAATATTGTTGATGTTTTTTGAGTTTGTTTTAAATATTATAATCAAAGATAATATAGAAATGTTATCTAGGAACTTGTATTTAAAAAAAAAAATTGCCAACTTGTTCTATATATCCTCATAAAAATTTATCTTGAGCACGTAAAAATATCAGATTTATTTATCCGTGTAAAATATTCAGATTATGGAGTAATATAATAAACTCCTTAGACCTATATAACTATAAGCTCAATGCAGTCGCGTTTTTCTTTCTTCATATAAAAATATACCAAGTCACGATTACATAGTTTTCTGATGCTTACAATAGTCACTAGCAGCTTCTTTGTTCATTTAATATTTCATATTCTAAGTCAGTGCTATCCAAACTATAGTAAGGGTCAAACGTCTTGGCTGATCAAGGCCATTTATCCTCCGTTGCTGTAGTAGTGTTCTTACTATCCAGATATCCCAGTACAGTATATTCTCCACAAGTATCAGACCGCAAGGAAGCTAAACCTGACACTTGTAAAGTCAGGGACTACGTTTTAGAGCCTCGCGCCCGCCTTTGTAGTTTGCCGAACGTAGACAAGGACAGAGAATAAAAGATAAGCGTGAAACGTGAATCGAGGCAACCAAGCGATTTAAATATCAACTTTTTTAATTTTACGTTTTTTATCCCGAAATTTTTCTTAACATATTGATGAGATTTTTCTGATGAAAATGACATAAAACACGACATAATTTGAACAACATTTACTTATTAACACGTTCACTGTCACGCCAGATTTACAGGTTGCTGTTAGGCGGCCACAAGAAAATACATTTTAAGCATAGGATTATAGTATTATGCTTTATAATTTTTTTTTTTCAATTGAAAATAATGTCTAGCTTGCTATGATGTTCAAAATTTTTAGTTGACAACATTTATTTTATTTTAATTATTCTAAACATTTGAGGCACTCCAGTCACTGATGACCACCATGGCCATATCGAGGAAACAATCTAATGTTAATACTTATTGAGTGATTAATTTAATTTCATAATATATCGCTTTGGATGAATTACAAAAACAAATTGCTAAGAAATTACATTAAATACCTGTACACATTATCCGTCGAATGTAGAGGGAGAGCCACCGTTTGGTTGCCAATTGTTTATCACATAGGGTCAGCCTACCTCCACGTAAAAAAAAAAAAATGTAGGGTCGATTCCACAAATGTCAGTAGTCTGTTTGCTGTCACTAGTGGAATGGACCCTACATTTTACTGATACTTGTGGAATCGACCCTACATGTTTTTTTTTTTTACGTGGAGGTAGGCCGACTCTATGTGATAAACAATTACCAACCAAACGGTGGCTCTCCCTCTACATTCGACGGATAATGTGTACAGGTATTTAATGTATTTTTTTAGCAATTTGTTTTTGTAATTCATCCAAAGCGATATATTATGAAATTAAATTAAACACTCAATAAGTATTAACATTAGATTGTTTCCTCGATATGACCATGGTGGTCATCAGAGACTGGAGTGCCTCAAATGTTTAGAATAATTTGTTTTTGACGTAATACGCGTCCCACTGCGACCATGGGATGCACTGAGAGCCGCGGTCGACTGAGGTCGTAAATCTCAGTCCGATTTGAATCGACAACTTGATCACGTATGTCCTTACGACCGTTTAAGGTTATAAGGATAGTAGGGGTGTGTAAAGGCGAAGTTCAATGAATGTAGGAAATGATAACAGGTAGACTATTTAATAAATAACACTTAGAAATTGAATGATGGATCAGCGTGTAGAGTGTGTGACGTGAATTTTGAGCGAGGGAGTATAATGTTTCCCGTGGAGATTATAATGTTTCTCCTTCAAGTCGATTGCTTGACTGACTCGAACTATTTTTTCCTTTGCCTCCCTCACCAATTTCTCCCGCTGATGGAATTTCGCGAGCGAGTCTTGTCACCTGATTGGTAAAGGTTTTTCCAATCAGAGGACAGACTCGTTGACACTCCCTTATTTCATACGGGAGAAGTGGTGTCGGTGTAGGTGAGAGGCGTGATGGTGAGGAAGTTTGGCAACGTGGTGGAAATTCCGCCAGGCTTGGGCCTTAGGGGTTGACCTGATCGACGGTCACTAGGCCCGGTCCCGATGCCCCTTTGGAAATTCACGTTTATGACACATGCAATTAGTCGTTGAGGGTTAGGAAACTCGAAAATGAACAATCTCATAAAAAATAAAAGGCCTCTCAAAAACGACTGTACTGGCTTGCGTGTCATAAACGTGCTAGCAATTTGCACTTCAGATGTTGTCCTTGTACAAATTGCGAGCCACCCGTGGCTTTAAGACTCCAATGAGTCGATGAAGCGGAGCCTTATTGTAAATGCAAGGTCAATGAAGGAAGGCCAAAAAAATGTATTGTTATTGGCCAAAAGTCCCGTGGGTATGCCATGGAACAATGTCTATAATTATTCAGTTACATACTAATCTAACATAGTATTGTGTCGTGTCCTAGGCCGACTCTATGTAATGTAATACAGGGCGTCTGTTTTATCTCAATACAGTGAATATCTGGCGTGACAGTGAACGTGTTAATAAGTAAATGTTGTTCAAATTATGTCGTGTTTTATGTCATTTTCATCAGAAAAATCTCATCAATATGTTAAAAAAAATTTCGGGATCAAAAAACGTAAAATTAAAAAAGTTGATATTTAAATCGCTTGGTTGCCTCGACTCACGTTTCATGCTTATCTTTTATTCGCTGTTCTTGTCTACGTTCGGCAAACTACAAAGGCGGGCGCGAGGCTCTAAAACGTAGTCCCTGATTCTACGAGTGTCAGGTTTAGCTTCCTTGCCGTCTGACACTTGTGAAGAATATACTGTACTGTGCAAAAGGTAAAAAATTACAAAATACAATGTTACCTGTTTTGCGTCCGGTATTAAGTAAATGGCATTACTTATACGAAGACAATTATTATAATAGCGTCCAAAATGCTGAATTATTATTACAACATAAAACTAGAGTGTGCGGTACTATAAGAGAAAATAGAGGACTACCAATAGGTCTAAAAACTGACATAAAAAAATGTTTATTATACATGTTGAAATATCTTTAGATCACTAAAATACCCCCGATTTATATGAAAAGTTTGTGAAAAATGACTCTTTTAAATGTACATAATACTGATCGTTACTTAACACTTTTAAACGTCTCGTTAGTGAAAATTTTTAATATAAGTGCAAACGCATCGTCGGGGGCGATTGTAACATCAGCAGTCAGGCTCGAAAGTAAAATTACAATAAAGGGTATTTTTGTCTTGTATGCCTTGATTCATATATCCGATATTGTAAAATAATGTAAAACTGAATAATCTGTAATTAGATAAAAATATTGGAATTTTTTAAAGAATTTGATTCATATTTAGTTTTTTTTTTTTTCAATTATTTTGTGTTACAAAAATATTGTGTTACTATCGACCCCATGTCATGTTACAACCGCCCCAGGGTACGAGACGGTTGTAACACTTTTTACGATCTCTATTTTTTATTAATAACTTTGATATTACTTGTAATATCATAAAGAGAAATTGCTGTGACTCAATGTCAGATAGCTATGTAAGATTTTGGGATACAAATTTTTACTATAAATGTAATAGTTTCTGCGTAATCGTAGTCCAAAGTCAAATTATTACTTTTGACCCCAGTCTCCCCTACTACGGATTAGCAATAACCGAAATTGGCAACTAATGATAAACCTCAACTCATGTACTGTCCACCAGAATCAGAGTCGTTCAGTAACTGCCATGCAGACAATTTTCAACGAATAATGTTCATTTCACTACCAGCACTGAATATAATCCAACTGAACAAAAAGACGTTAAAATATTTATTTTAAATCAATTGGCTATCCAGATATTAGTTCCGCCAACAGAGAATATTCTCCACGTAGACCATTACTAACATGTATTATATGTATATGTATATACTACATACATTTATTTCATAAATAAAAAAATACTACACAATATATTGAACATCCTACAATCATATACCAAAGATTCTTTTTAATTGAACTTATGCCTTCTACAAAAAATTTCTACAAAAACGATGTTTTTCCACACTTGCAACCGAGAATATCCGCCTTTAAGGGGATACACTACCTTGATGCGAAAAAAAAAAAGAAAAGTTTGGGAATTTTTTTCATAGGTAACTATTAAATGAAAAGCTTCAATTCTTTCAGAGGATATAAATGTAACTTTTAGCTTTTTTCTCTAATTTTCAAAAAGTAAAAATGTTACAAAATGGAGAAGTTATTGCAAAACTTCTGCTAGAATATCAATTGCTGGCGGCCATCGACGGCAAGGATTGGAACAAATGAAATAAAAAATTTTTCTTGATTTATAAATAAAAATGTATTATTTACAATGTGGCATACGATTCTTTTAGATATCTCAATTATTTAAATTTTTAGAAACGTTTAAAGTTGATCCTTTTTGGTAAAAAGTGGTTTTTCCATTTACAATTTTTAAAAAATCGTACACTACATTGTAGGACAATACATTTTTATCTATAAATTAAAAAGAATTTTTTATTTCACACGTTTCAATCCATGCTGGCGATGGCAAACAGAAGTTTCGCAAGAACTCCATTATATAACACTTTTATTTTTTTTTATTTGCAGAAAGAAGCTGAAAGTTACCTTTATATCCTCTGAAAAAATAAACTAAAAAAAAGCTTTTCATTTAGTAGTTATCTATGAAAAAAATTCCCAAACTTTACTTATTTTTAAATGCCTCAGGGTGGTGTTTCTCTTAACTGCTGAACGGTAAGAGTGGAACTGTGGAGTGGCGGAGAAGAAAACAGTGTGACCGACAAATACAGTTGGCCCTGACTATAAGTTCCGGTGCTTTTCATGTCTGCGGACGAAATATTTGATGACTTAAGCTCGTTACTTTGAGGCTGCGAACGAGGTATCTCGCACATATGTATGTATATTTACGTTTTTCATTGGATGAGTTATTTCATGATTGATCTATAAAACAATAAAATTGCAATAGATATTTTAGCATGAGGTAAAACAAACGTTTTCCAAGGTCAATCGTGAAACATCTTTTAAAAACAATGTAACAAACGGCGCAGCAACCACTATGAATTTATTTATTAGTATTAATCAAGTTTCGATCACAGTTGCAGCCAATAAATGACATTCTTTATGGATTTTGGTTAATTGCATGTATTGTAAATAAGGAAATACATTGCAGCTAGCAATACATCTGTTTTAAAAGCAAAAGAAATTTAGAATAAAGTCATACCAAAATTACTGATTTCATTCTCAATTTCCTTTGCATTGTAATAACAATGCATGGAAGACGATATTACTGCATAAACAGTTTGACTCATGAGCAGTATTATTGTAAGTCAATCATTTCATAAAATGAATACCTGTGTGTTTAATAATTTCGACTACATGTTTTAATACACTGCTAGTGAACTTACTAATTTGTGACAATATGATGGGCACCTGTTTATATGAAACAACAAAAACTGATTGTGGTGCATGGTACTTAAGCAATTCATATTCTTGTAAGTAGATGTTTAACTTTTAACTGCATTCTTACCTTTATACTTTCTTAAATACAGGAACACTAAGATTATATAAAAATAATCACTAACCTTTGTACTAAATCTATCACTCGGAGTAGAGGGTGTAATACTTCGTCTTGGACTGTTATTCTGATCATCTATTGATCGTCTATCACTATTATTGTCATCATTAATTTGATTTGATGTAACATTAACGCCCATTTTTAGATCAGCTATTAAACGTCTTGCTCTTTCACGTAATTGTTGTTGTCTTTCGTCATCATTTTGACCCTATAAATCATAACATAAAATGTTTCATAATTTAAATACAACCTTATCACAAATAACGAAAATAATGCAAAGTATGAAATTAAATAAATATACACAACTACTCTACATAAAATCATAATACCAAAAAAAAACAAAAACAAAACAAAACCTCAATAGGACAAACAGCAGCAGAAATAAGACCAGTCGATTTTGTATGATTCCTAGCCTGTTCTAATAGCTGCCTGGCGCGTTCTCTTAACTCATCATGCCGACTGACTATTAGCTATTATAATACATAACAAAAAAGATATATTATAACATACAAAAGAAAGAAAAATTGTGACACTACAAAAAAATTGGAAATATAAAAAAATAATTACATGTGAACGCTGTTCTCCTTGTGATGGTGATACATTTTGATATTCAGTACATTTTCCCCTTTCACTTATATTGACTGAATCCTATAAAAAAAATGCATTTACCAAACTTATTGTAGCAGTTGATATAAAATTTCATCATAAAAATTAAAGTACTATCCCATTGTAAGAACACACAAAACAAACTGCACATATTATATGCATTACAGTGTTTAGATTAAAAAATGCAATTGTACAATAAAGATTTGTTGTTAGTGGAGTATATAAACTAGATGATATAAATTTATAATGTAAAATCAATTAATGTTTATTTAACACTGATTAATTTACACAATTCAACTATACTGACACTATGAACTGACGTTTCGGATTTGTCAATTGAGATTGATTGAGACCATTTTTCATCAATTATTTGAATATTTTCCTCCTCTTCATCAGATCCAAAGGGATCTGTTAATTGTCGACGAGTCATTAACATAGGGCGTTGCTGTGTCTGGGATGCCCTAGGTGGAGATTTACTCTGTAATAAATTACAATCAAAACCGTTTGTTATCAGTTTCAAAACTAGTAACTTAAAACCATATATTGCAAATATAATAATATATAGCAATCATACATTGTAAATAAATACATTTATTTACTTTTTCTCTAGATAAATATTTTTCCTTAGTTGGTGATAATACTTTCTCTAGAATACTTTTTGAACTAGCTAGTATAATATCTTTAACATCCTTAACACTGGATGGTGATTTATCTTTATTACACAGATCGTGATCTTGATTTTCCTGATTCAAATTCAAATGTAACTTATTTTTTAGAGAATCAGTATTAACATCTAGTATAATGAATGTACCGTCTGTTGTTGTCTGCTATGTTACTTTTGTGATCCGTTTGATCTTTTTTACGTAAATTAATTATTTCTTGACCAAACAATTGCACACTTACATCTGAATTATTGTCTGTATTAAATCTGCCAATCATGTAAGACGATTCATCTGTAGTTTTACCTATTTGATGTACCTAAAAATACCAAGCAACATTTTTTTATTTTCAGGAAATAATTACACTTATAAACATTGAATCCATAAACCTATTGCCAAATTTTAGTCAAATCAATGATAAATCAACCTAAACTGTATATTATGTTCATCTAAATTTTAATTCTATGTGTAATATATTATTACGTTAAATTTATCTACACTGGTGCTCGGTTATACAGAATAAAATCTGCTCGGTTAAAGTTGAAAGAACCATACCTACTTCTCACACCACTCAAGGGCCTTGAGCTCAGTAAACTTAACAGGGTATTCTAGTCTAGACCTTTCAAAAAATCGATTTCTTTTCTTATGCATTTTTCGAAAGTATGAATCTTCAAGAATGTACGGTTACATTATTGTGGCAAAATTCGAAGTATTTCGGCTTTTGCAGCTTTTTGTAATGAGCGGCACTACCTGCATTGCTTCGACAATACCTAAGCTCCTCTCTAACTGTTTCTATTGTACTATCCTTTTCAGACTTGAGTAATATAGTAGTATAAATCTTTTTAAAATAACCGTATAGCGCAGTGGTGTACCGTACGTGAATAAATATGTACTGGTATTGTCGATTATATAACACATGAAAATCTAATACTCTAACTTTGAACGCGTTTTTCTTGAAACTTTCTCTTTTCAACTGGAAGGAAAATAAAAAAAAACTAACCAGCTAATCGGTCTGAAATTTTAACACGTCATTCTACGTACTCTTGGCTCTCGCAGGTACCAGATTTAGATTTTTATGTTGAAAATAACATTTGTTACATCGAAAAACTTAAAAAATAAAGGGGAATTTCAATAAATTTTGAATGCACGCCATTCTGTTAAATTTTGACTTATATGAATAATTCCGGTACCTGCGATAACGGTACTCATACTGATTATAAATCTTTCTGATTTTTTTTTGTTTCGGATGAGATTGTGAGCAAAAATCAATTCCACCAGCGAGATATCTCTTTTTAAAGGCGCTATCTTTATCTCCAGATAAACCATTAAACAAACAATTAAAAAGCTATTTAAAAAATTATTTTGTGTGCTTTATAAGTTCTTTAATAAGTGAAAAACAATTGATATTACTATTCATTTTACACACCGAAAAAAAGTCATGAATAATGCCAAAATTTTCAACGTCATTACTAGAACATCCTCTTAAATATATTGACAAGGAAAGTGAATAGATATAGCAAGACTAACAAGAGAGGTTTTCCATATGATCAGTTTAAAAAAAAATAACGTTTGGAAGTTATAGCACTATACCTCCTAATAGCTGAATTGAGTGCCATTTGTTCGGAAAATTTGGTGTTGGCTAGAAAAATGATGTCAAAGTCTGCTATAAACAGCTCCGAAAATGGATATAAGTGACATATTTTCGTAATTTTGCATGTACAGATACATAAAACTACATATAAAGAAAAGATATATGTATTTGTACGTACATACTTTCATAGTGTACCATACCCAAACGTAATCCGAACTTCGGGTGGGATGGATGAAAAAAATGTTTAACACCCACCATCTGAATTAAAACTCAAAGGAGGATGTTAAAAAAAGGCCAATTTTGGCATACGGCCGGAACGAAAAATATTTTTACAGCATGATTCTACGCATCCTAAGGAACAAAAAATGTAATTGTCATTTTCCCCGGAAATGATGGGAAAGTTATGAAAAATGCGGTTCAAGGGAAGAGTATGACCATACTTATAACTTCTAACTGTTCGTAAATTAACCACTTAGAAACTCATATTGAGTATTATTTACAAAGATTGTTGTACATTGGTGTTTAATAAAAACCAAAAATAATGAAAAATAATTAATGACAAATTAATCGAAACAAGGAATTCTTTGATGACACAATGCTTATATTCTAAGCAATCAGAAACCAATGATTATTAATTCTAGAACAAATAAAAGTTATAATAAACTATCGTAATTATAATAAAATAATCGTTATGACAGGGATACAATAAAAAAGTAAGACTCTAACAGAATTTTCATTTCTTAACTGTGTATCCACTATGAAAGCCAGAGGAAAAAGTATCATCTTACATATCAGTCTAAACATGTATGTATATGTATACAGTGTTCTGTCGAACTACGCGTAGGTTTAGAGACGTCGACTGTCCGCGTAGTTGGGAACCATTCCCCGGCTTTACTGTCGTTAGAATAATAACAAACGAAGTAGGTCGTGTGTAAATACTTAGTTGTTTACTAAAAGACAGTGTTTTTCCAGAAAAGGATAGAATATGTACATATCTCTAACAGTAAAAAACCTAATTTATTGTTGTTTCATAGCCAGAACACATCTTATTACAAGAAAAATAAACTTAGGATACGATAAAACGAAATTGTTGCAGTAATTGATCTAATTAGCTATACGTAGGCTCTCCTCTATTTTCAATTAACTCAATCATTCGATTGTGTACGTATATATACACACATATTATTCACGCATACACATACCGTGAAACTGTAGCTGTACAGCTCGCAGAGACACGCTTCTGGTTTGATTTTTCTCCCAAGCTGAGCTGTTCGTTGTGTACTTGAATTCGGTGCACTTAATTCACACGAACGAATATGCTAAGTACGTAAATTGATTGGAAATCCGCGTATAATCGAAAACGTATTCCCTACAAGACTGTAATCGCGCAGTATAAGCGACGTTCGTCGTTCGTCGAGGCACTCGTTCGACAGCCACGTAAACGCCGACTGAGGACGAGTCGTCCTGCCCGATTTCTAATCGCTGTACGCTCGCAACTGTTCTGGGAAAAATTCGAGGCCTTAACTTCTTGTGACTGTCTGAGAGCATCGCTCAACTCTCTGAGAGTTACGACTCGAATAAACAGTTGCTTTGCAAACACGAAGCAGTTTCATATTCTTGACAGAACTCTCGTGCGTGTATATAGCATTCCATTTAAAAAAATTAAACCTCAGAGTCTAACTATCGCGAGTTACTCTCGAGAGTATCTCTCGCGAGTGGACACTGCGTCTGAGAGTGACTGTCTGAGAGCATCGCTCAACTCTCTGAGAGTTACGACTCGAATAAACAGTTGCTTTGCAAACACGAAGCAGTTTCATATTCTTGACAGAACTCTCCTGTCGAGTATATAGCATTCCATTTAAAAAAATTAAACTGAAGTCTCCCCCATCATACCAGGTAAAAAAAAAAAATAGTTACACCACATAACGTCCCCCTCCATACCAAACAACATTTGTTAAAACATTTTTTTCGTAACATCACTTCCTTAAAAAATATTTCACCCTGTATATGTTTAGACTGATATATAAGATCGTACTTTTTCCTCTGGCTTTCATAATGGATACACAGTTAAGAAATGCAAATTCTGTTACAGTCTTACTTTTTTATTGTATCCCTGTCATGACGATTATTTTATTATATTTACGATAGTTTATTATAACTTTTATCACTTCGAGAATAAACTATTGGTTTCCGATTGCTTAGAATATAAGCATTGTGTCATCAAAAAATTCCTTGTTTCGATTAATTTGTCATTAATTATTTTTCATTATTTTTGGTTTTTATTAAACACCAATGTACAACAATCTTTGTAAATAATACTCAATATGAGTTTCTAAGTGGTTAATTTACGAACAGACCATCATCCGAAGAAAACGAGACGGAATATAAGTTATAAGTATGGTCATACTCTTATCTTGACCATATTTTTCATAACTTTCCTATCATTTCCGGGAAAAATGACAATTACATTTTTTGTTCCTTAGGATGCGTAGAATCATGCTTTAAAAAAATTTTTCGTTCTAGCCGTATGCCAAAATTGGCCTTTTTTTAACATCCTCCTTTGGTTTCTATTCCAATTATTTTGCTTATATGTATTTAGAAAAAAAACCCAAAAAGTAAAAATAATTATAAAAAAGTATTATTTACCCATTTTCGGAGCTCCTTATGGCGGACTTTGACGCCATTTTTCTAGCCAATATCAAATTTCCCGAGCGAATGGCACTCATTTCAGTTATTAGCAGGTACAATACTATAACTTCCAGCCATCATTTTTTTAAACTAATTGATCATCTAGGAAATCTACCTTGTAAGTGGGACGCGACACTTAAAACGGATACCGCATGTGTTGCAATGAATCATTCAATTTCAAAAATTTCAATTTTCCTAATTTTCATCTTATCCTTATGAAAATAGTTTCAGCGAATTGGTGAGATTCTCCTGATAAAAATAAGTCTGAACACGATATAATTTGGATCAATTTCCCAATAAGCTATTTAAGCATTACGGATAACGAAAACGAGACGTATGGGTCAACCAATCAAAATTGAAAGTTCAGGAAGGAGTTAGGGTCAGGAAGTGGGAGATGGAGGAGAACTTGTGACGTTCCCGCTGTTAATTATAGCGATTGTTGTTCTTCCATGAACGCTAGGCGACGATCGAGCCTTGCACGAGCATTCGGAAACAGATGAGTCAGGTGCAAAATTTTGAAGGGCAGAAACTGTGACTGTTGACCTATGCTTTCTTCATTTTATTCAGAAATTTTTGGGCTTCGCAAGCAATTCCTTAGACCGTAGAAAACTATTTTTATTATATAGAAATAACTGCAAGTAAGGCATAAGCTACTACGAAGGATCACACATGTTGATGTTTAAAAACACCCCTCCTTCACCATTTACCCCTTTCCGGTCATAATGTTTCGAGGCAGGTGTAGTCAACTAGTCGTACTTAGCGCTCACTTGGTGCAGTGATAGAGCACACCCAATTATTTAT